AGTATTGAAAGATGGAAATCAAATACTCTCAATTCATTTTTACATCCCATTCAATTGATTCGTATTACAAATCAAGGAAATCAACTTATCAATAGTTTTCATAATTTCCATTATCGTCTGGATCAAAGTTCTGGACAATTAATTCCAGTGCCAGCTAATTATTCAACTTGTTCATGTGTAAGATCGAGTGCATGTCGAATTCCTATGGGTATATTCGTTTATAACTGGACAATCTTTGATTATGTTGAACTTTTTCGTATTCCTAATTTTTTCACTGGTTGCTTTCTAGTTGAATCTTTACTCGAATCGACTTTAGAATGTTTTTATGATCATCAATGTATGGAAACCATTGAATCTTACATGTCGAATACAAAAGCTAATTTTTCACTACTTGATACAACTCGTAATTCACCGAATGAAACAATTCAATCGATTATTAATCGATTAATGATCGATGCATGGCAATCAAACATATCATTTAGTGCTTATTATAAGATGTGTGCACCATTATCTTGTACATATGAAGATACACGTCAACATGATATTTTCTATCTAATCTCATCTATTCTTGGTATATTTGCTGGTTTGGTATTTGGAATAGAAATTCTTATTTTAATTATACTTCGATTTATTGAAAACATGGCTGATAATTTTTCTTTAATCGAATTAAAAAGGACATTTAGAAATGTATTTATCTGTCGCAATGAACAACAAATTATCAATCGATGTCATTTTATTCTACTTATAGCCATCATATGTCTTCTCTATCTGGCTACATCTCTTACACTAGTATCTAAAACTGAGCAAGTAATTAGACCATCTTTATTCACCTATAAATATCTACTAACAAATTACCAAGACTCGCTTCAATGCTCTTGTTCATATATATCGATTGAATATCAATCATTTCTTACAATCCAGTCTCGCATTCATCAGATCTGTTCAAGTAACTTTGTCTCAAACGACTGGATTGATTATATTTATAATACTATTGATCCTTTTCAATTGAATTATACTGATTTTCGAACAACAGCTATTGGTCAATATCAATTATTGGCTT